ATGATGATGATAATAATAATAATAATAATAATAATAATAATAATAATAATAATAATAATAATAATAATAATAATAATAATAATAATAATATAGGAAGAGGAGGAGAAGGAGATAACAGCTCTTGAATTTTGCTTTCTGACCATTGAAAGTTACAATAGCACTTAAAATACTGGCTTTTGACCATTTTTCACACTTATTACTGTTGTAGCATCCCTGTAGTCACATGGTCAAAATTTGGATGCTTGGTTCATATTTATGACGGTGGCAGGTCATGTGATCAGCTTTTGTGCCCTTCTGACAAGCCAAGTCAATGGGGAAGCCAGATTCACTAAGCTGCCTTATTAACTTAATAACTGCAGTAGTACACTTAACTGCACCAAGAAAAGTCATAAAATCACTTAACAAATGTCTCACTTAACAACAGGTATTTTGGGTTTAATTGTGGTCAGACATTGAGGGCTACCTATACACAGATATTGTAGAATTTTAATCACTTCTTATAGTAATAAAAGTTCACTTAATCCACTGTAGTGTTTTATGAGACTGGTCCTTATTCCTATTTTATTTAACACTGGAAGTATTTTCTCTCTCTCTCTATCTTTTCCTAGAAAAAAAAAATCAGAAAAACCCTCACTGAGTGTTTTAATAAATTCCACCGTGTTCCTTTCAGCACAATCCTATGAATGGCTATTCAATTTCTTGCACCCACTTTAAAAAATTCCAGTTTTATCTAGAATGATGCACTCCGGCTCCAAAACATCAGTTCCAGCCTTGCTGAAGTCAGTGAAATTTATACTTCTCAGTAAATACACAGGACAGCAGTGATAGTTAATAAATCAATGGTTAAACAACATTACTTAAAATATTGTTATATTTTATAACTCATTATTGATTATTAATTCATTCCATTTCTGGGAAATAAAACCATCAAGGAATGATATAAGAACATGACAGATAGCACAGAGTTTGCAAAAAACAGCTTTAACCAAGAGATTTAAATGTCACTCAGGAACATTTGCCTGTAAAATACCAATTTATTTTAATACTTAAAAAATAATAATAAATCCAGTGATAAATGTTCATTATCAAGAATCAGCATAAAGTGCCAAATAGCAATAACTTTAAACCAAAAACATATTGGAATGTCTTGTCCTTCTTTTTAAAAAAAAATTATTTTTTTTTACACTGTTTAGGGAAAAAAAATAAAGACGATTCTGGATAAAATGCTCATGTTGAGATTTGTCAGCAAACTCTCCCCCCCCCCCCCCCCGCTCCTGCCCTTTTACAAAACTCAGTTCACCATCGCCTGGGCACATGCTCACTTGAAGGTACCACCAAGAAAGGCCACACTGTGCACATTAGTCCATTTTGATTTATTATTATCAGGTTTCCCTTTTGTCTCTTGCTTTTGCATTGGTTGCTTGCTTTGATTTTTCTCTTTCCATTTTCCTTTCAAATTACAAACTACCTCCTAAGGCACCAGACCACGAATAAACAGAAACGACAGGATGCTCACTGGAGCATGTAGAAGAGATTCCCACACACACGCACACAGACATTAAAAAAAAACCCTGTCCACCAAAGACAGAAGTCTTAATTTCTGAAGAGGATGGCAGCCCTCCCCCCCGTTATAGCACAAATCTCCTTCATAATGTTGCCTCTTTCCAAGCAGTTTTATTAGTGATCTTCCCTGCCATCTCAGCCGTGCCCCCAAATGTGGAATTAGTTAGATTTTCTTTCCCAAAGTTTATAAAGGAGGCACTTTTTTAAACAAGTCACTTGCGAAAGAATAAACGTAATCGGGGAGGTAGAAAGCTATTTGTTGTTTGCGTTTGAACCGAGGACAAAAAATTCCTCTCCAATACATGAGCACCACCTTTTGACGTAAAGTTTAGTGAAGTCACGCAAGATTTACACTTGGAAGTACCCAGGTTTTGGAAAGGCTGACTGCGTGTTTGTGCATGTTGAGTTGTGGGTTCTCTTCGTGTAACTTTTTTTAAGTATTAAATTAACGACGTTGAGTGTTCCCCATTGTCTCGGTGAAGAATTTGATCTAAAATGTAGAGTAAAGTGGAGAGATGAAGTTCGTTGGGGTTAAAATCTTCAGCATTTCATTTTGGAAGGTCTGAGTTCCTTTACTTGTGTGTGTAGCGTCTTGTGAACAGCCAGAGTCCTGGATTGGCAAAATCCTTTTCCGCATTCTTGACACTTAAAAGGTTTTTCTTTTGAGTGGATATATCTGGAGAGAAGAGAAAATAAGAGAAAGAGAGAAAAAAAAATTTTTAATGGATGTTTAACTCTCCAGGAAAATACAATTATGTTTCAACTCGCTGGAGTACAAACATTTGCTGGAGGAAAAAAATTAAAGGGAGTTTTGTTCAACGGAAGAAACCTGTAATCACTCTGGATTTGGATGCAAAACTAATGTTGATCCTGCTACGATTTACTGTTTAGACCAAAGTTTCTCAGCCTAAGCAACTTTAAGGTGTGGGGGCATCACCTCTCAGAATTCCTCAGCCAGTTTAGAAACACTGGTTTAAACAGTGGCACTTTTAGCAATAGCTCTTAGACTTGTATACCACTTCACAGTGCTTTACAGTCTTCTCTAAGTGGTTTACAGAGCCAGATTATTGCCCCCAACAATCTGGGTCCTCATTTTACTGATCTCGGAAGGATGGAAGGCTGAGTCAACCTTGAACCGGTCAAGATCGAACTCCTGGCAGTGTGTAGAGTCAGCCTGCAATACTGCATTCTAACTGCGCCACTGTTTAATGAATATATGAATATGTCATGATGCAACTGCTATGATTAAGAGCTCGTATCAGGATACCTAACTCAAGGGCATATGTTGCAGCAGTTTTTGTGATTATGTCATCATAGGCATCACCATTGGCTCTTCCTCGCCCACTCTGTAAGAACTCAAGCAAGTACTAAAATGGCCATGCAACATTTTTGTTAATATCAGAATGAAGTTCCATCCAAAAATGAACACAAAAAGATATCTTTAGAGCATCTCTTTGAATTGGATAGGATAATACAAAAATCAAAGAACCCACAATCCCCCAAAATAATTGAATTGGAAAGTTTAATATCCAGTTCTATGTTAATACCATCAGTGGAATTTATATAGGGGCTGTGTATTAGTATGTCCTAATGTTTTC